CATATCACCACTTTTTCTTCTGTCTTCTAGTTTTGGCATATTTAATGCCTCTAACCTCTCCTCGTAGCTCTTGCCATTCAGTTCTGGGAGCCACTTAGTAGCATGTCTTTGCACCTTTTCCAGTTCGTTGATGTGCTTCTTAAGATATGGGCACCACACAACTGCTGCATATTCTAGCTTTGGCCTAACAAAAGTCGTGAACAATTTCTTTAGTATATCGCCATCCATGTATTTAAAAGCAATTCAGAAGTTAGAAAGCGTGGCATAGGCTACTCGCACAATATTCTTTATGTGGCCCTCAGGTGATAGTTTTCTATCTAGAACCACCCCTAGATCTCTTTCTTTATCAGAATTCTTTAAAGATTTCTCACATAATATATAGGTTGTGTGGGGTCTATGTTCTCCTATTCCACATTCCATAACATGGCATTTATTAACATTAAATTCCATTTGCCAAGTGGCGCTCCATGTACTTATTTTGTCCAGGTCTTCTTGAAGGGCATGACAATCATCTAAGTTTCTTATCCTTCCGTGCTCCGTCGTAGAGGCCTTCAACCACAATCCACCCTGTAGCTGGCAGGTACCGGTCAGCTCTGCTGTGTAGGCCACTCCACGACCGATACTAGGGTTGCGAGCCCTAGGCAGGAGCCTCGTGTGATCCCGCTGATCACTCTCCTCACTAAGCACCACAGTGGCTAGTCTCTTCCACCAGCCAGCCCCGGATAAGGCGATTCCTGATACTGCCACGTCACAGGCAGGCTAATACTCTCAACAGAGTTCGTCCAGAGGTGACTCACAGCTTCTTCAGCAGACTTGTGAAGAGACCTTGGCTGCCTTGGGTAGACTGATCCATTGTCCAATACAGCAGTCCCAGGTCGACTCTGTAATCAGACACGTCATTAGTACTGGGGATACTACATGGGGTCACTAGGAAACATCACTTACTAGCTTAGGCAGAAACGTCCACCTATCTACTCCATAGATGGCGTTCACTGTCTAAGCGCCACCTCACCAGAGGTCAGCAGCGGCTACGTTACGAGCTGATTAAGACGGGAATCCAGCACCTGTGGCCGGTATATCCCCTCCTCACTAGATGGCGTCGTCCATTTGGAGTGGGTTTCGGGAGCGGACTCACAGATGGCATTGCCGTCACTGCTCCGTGCTCCGACGCTGGACTCGGGTCCGTAACACTATCACCCCCCCCCCCTTTTTTATGGTGTACACTTTATTATGCAAGGGTTATACAGTTACATATCTGATTTTATACAAAAAATTAACATTAAGAAGACACAAAAAAAAAGTTCGCTTCCTAGAGGCTGTAGATTTCCTCGAACTCCTCCGACGCCGGGCAAGAACCGAGGATGCAGCGAGCATTTCCCCTCTGGATCGCGACACTGAGGCGCTGAAAGAGAAAACTTGCTACTTTAGGGTCTCTTGTGGTGTCAATGAGCTTGGAACCAAGATCCTTAAGAAACCCTCTTGCACTCTCTCCCCATGGGCCTAGGGTCTCAGACCCTATTGGAACGAAGTTATACCGATGATCTAATTGCCTGTACTTGGCTGACTTGTCTCTTTCTCTGCGTGTCGCCGCGGCTCCTGCTGTGCCGGCAGAGAGGTTGATGTATGTGGTTGCCAGGGTGGATACACAAGTATAGTCCCATGCCAACTGTCTGCCATCCTACCACGGTCGCAGTGTGATTCCGTCTGGTCGGTCGGCAAAGCTAACAGAGTGACGGTTCAGTAGGTTGCGGGGTTCTCTCTCCGCTGGACACTGAGCAGAGGCAAGGCTTCTTTTAATGATGTCATTGACTTCGTCGTGTCTAGTGAGCCAACCACCAGATTTTTCACAGTGCAGGCCATGTAATCCATATTCGTCAGGATCTGCCTCGCCGCAAATACACCTATGAACAGTGTGGATAGGGGCAGCAAGACGGAGAGCGACTGCAATACAGAGCTCCTGCGGATCAAGACGTGTGCCTGTCGCAGACCACTGGTCTGCCTGTCGCACGATCACTGGGGGTTGTTGCTGCCTCCAGCAAAGCTGTGGCTTCTTTGTCTACAATGGGACTGTCCCAACTGGATTGTTTCTTGGCTTTCGGCATGGCTGGTCTGAGTGCTGGGTCTGCCATGGCACCCCATTTCGTGTCGCATTCCGTGTAGTGGGGGTCCTGTATCCCCGCTACATCACTCGGGGTATATATATAAATATATATATATATATATATATATATATATATATATATATATATATATATATATATATATATATATATATATATATATATATATATATGTCGTACCTAGTAGCCAGAACGCACTTCTCGGCCTACTATGCAAGGCCCGATTTGCCTAATAAGCCAAGTTTTCCTGAATTAATATATTTTCTCTAATTTTGTTCTTATGAAATGATAAAGCTACCCATTTCATTATGTATGAGGTCAATTTTTGTTATTGGAGTTAAAATTAACGTAGATATATGACCGAACCTAACCAACTCTACCTAACCTAACCTAACCTATCTTTATAGGTTAGATTTGGTTAGGTAGCCGAAAAAGTTAGGTTAGGTTAGGTTAGGTAGGTTAGGTAGTCGAAAAACAATTAATTCATGAAAACTTGGCTTATTAGGCAAATCGGGCCTTGCATAGTAGGCATAGAAGTGCGTTCTGGCTACTAGGTACGACATATATATATATATATATATATATATATATATATATATATATATATATATATATATATATATATATATATATATATATATATATATATATATATATATATATATATATATATATATATATATATATGTCGTACCTAGTAGCCAGAACGCACTTCTCAGCCAACAATGTAAGGCCGGTTTGCCTAATAAGCCAAGTTTTCCTGAAATAATTGTTTTTCGACTACCTAACCTACCTAACCTAACCTAACCTAACTTTTTCGGCTACCTAACCTAACCTAACCTATAAAGATAGGTTATGTTAGGTTAGGTAGGGTTGGTTAGGTTCGGTCATATATCTACGTTAATTTTAACTGCAATAAAAAAAATTGACCTCATACATAATAAAATGGGTAGCTTTATCATTTCATAAGAAAAAAATTAGAGAAAATTTATTAATTCAGGAAAACTTGGCTTATTAGGCAAATCGGGTCTTGCATAGTAGGCTGAGAAGTGCGTTCTGGCTACTAGGTACGACATATATATATATATATATATATATATATATATATATATATATATATATATATATATATATATATATATATATATATATATATATAGAACAGGAGTCACAGACAAGATTTCGAGAGGCGTCAGGTTGGCGGCCCCTAGTAATTAAGAAACTCTCACCTTTAAGTCTTAATGACCACCAAGTGACCAAGGTCAGATCACGGGAAGTTGACCTGGTCTCTGCTAATCTCATAATTGCAGGCAACAAACCGGAGGGGTGACTGTCAAACATGCCGCCAATTTAAGGTGTGGCTTGGTAGAGTTCCTGGGGCTATCATCTTGTGAGCGGAGTTAGCTAGTTGTTCCTCAATAAATACGCCGAGTACTGTACACTCGAGGAAGAGATAGACAGAAAGAGACAGAAGACAGGAGAAACGCCAGCAGAGCAGAACTGAGAGGCTGTCCGGCGGACGAGGCGGGACAGTCTCTGTCAACCCGTTCTCGTACTTTCTTACAGTCAATATTGACTTATTAAATAAGTGCATATGTGACATACTAATTTATTGTGAATATTTTAGTTTACCTTGAAAAGCTTCATAGAAAACACCGACCTTACCTAACCTTCTTAGTATGTTAAGATAAGCATCTTATTGCTTCGTAATTACAATTATTACTTAACCTATACCTATAATAGGTTAAGTAATAATTGTAATTACGAAGCAATAAGATGCTTATCTTAACATACTAAGAAGATTAGGTAAGGTCGGTGTTTTCTATGAAGCTTTTCAAGGTAAACTAAAATATTCACAATAAATTAGCATGTCACATATGCACGTATTTATTAAGTCAATACTGACTATACGAAAGTGCGAGAACGGGTTGGTCAACTACAATCCCTCCCCCCCTCCTCTATCCAGCTATAGGCAGACACTTGGTGAGTTGAACATGAATGGTGACGTAGTCGTGTTTACTAGTGTTGTGTGACTAGCAGGGGGCAGACGGCCGTAGTGGTTTCGAATTTTGGTGTAATGACTCACTTGGTATATTAATGATGAACCTTCAGTTCGATTGCTTGATTTCTGATATTTATCATGCTAATTAAGTAATTGATTCACTTACTTTTAATTGACTTTAATTGCGTTCCCGAGTTCTTGGAATTTATGATATATGCAAAATACAGTGTAGAGTTCTCTTTAGTTAAAGTATCTTGCCTGGAACATGATTCCAGTTAAATCATACTATTAATGACCTGTGGATACATTTTAGAGAATTTTGTGATACCGACAAGTTCCATTCCTTGTCTTGTATATAATGGTCTTGAATGGATGGTGCAGTCTACTTTCTACTTCTGCTATCTAATTTTCTACTTCTACCTATCTTCCATTCTACCTCTACCACTACTTCCTATTCATCTCCATAGCCTCTCTCCCACTCTCCCTTTTACCTGACCACAATCCTCCCTTCTCCCGCCTAGTACTCCCTCCTCCCTCACCCAAACCCTCACTAATTACTGTTTTATTCATCTCTTTCCTTTCTTTTCTCTGATTCGTTCGTGACATTGAACTGCTCTAGAGTTCTCTTGAGTCGCAGGTAACTGATTAAGTTACAATGCCTTGTGGTCTTGACACCTAGGTAATCAAATACCTAGGTCACCAGGTGTTGAATAAGAGAGGCTGCAGTAGGGACTCTAGGGGGAGCTTTAGATTAGCTAACTGGGGGTGGAATAATGGACAAAAGAGAGCTATTTCCCCTACCCTCCCGTTAGAATAGTTAACTAGGGGTGGGATAATGGACAGGATAGGGCTATTTCCCCCCCCCCCCCCCCCGTTACAAGGCGGCGGTGACTCGAGTCACCGAGTCGTTCGAGGCGACTCGAACGAGTCTTGATGTATGAGGCGGCGGTGACCCTGGTACTAGCCTTGTTGTATGAGGCGGCGGTGACCCTGGTACTAGCCTTGTTGTATGAGGCGGCGGTGACCCTGGTACTAGCCTTGTTGTATGAGGCGGCGGTGACCCTGGTACTTGCCTTGTTGTATGAGGCGGCGGTGACCCTGGTACTTGCCTTGTTGTATGAGGCGGCGGTGACCCTGGTACTTGCCTTGTTGTATGAGGCGGCGGTGACCCTGGTACTAGCCTTGTTGTATGAGGCGGCGGTGACCCTGGTACTTGCCTTGTTGTATGAGGCGGGGGTTACCCTGGTACTTGCCTTGTTGTATGAGGCGGCGGTGACCCTGGTACTTGCCTTGTTGTATGAGGCGGCGGTGACCCTGGTACTAGCCTTGTTGTATGAGGCGGCGGTGACCCTGGTACTTGCCTTGTTGTATGAGGCGGGGGTTACCCTGGTACTTGCCTTGTTGTATGAGGCGGCGGTGACCCTGGTACTAGCCTTGTTGTATGAGGCGGCGGTGACCCTGGTACTTGCCTTTTTGTATGAGGCGGCGGTGACCCTGGTACTTGCCTTGTTGTATGAGGCGGCGGTGTCCCTGGTACTTGCCTTGTTGTATGAGGCGGCGGTGACCCTGGTACTAGCCTTGTTGTATGAGGCGGCGGTGTCCCTGGTACTTGCCTTGTTGTATGAGGCGGCGGTGACCCTGGTACTTGCCTTGTTGTATGAGGCGGCGGTGACCCTGGTACTTGCCTTGTTGTATGAGGCGGGGGTTACCCTGGTACTTGCCTTGTTGTATGAGGCGGGGGTTTCCCTGGTACTTGCCTTGTTGTATGAGGCGGGGGTGACCCTGGTACTTGCCTTGTTGTATGAGGCGGCGGTGACCCTGGTACTTGCCTTGTTGTATGAGGCGGGGGTTACCCTGGTACTTGCCTTGTTGTATGAGGCGGCGGTGACCCTGGTACTTGCCTTGTTGTATGAGGCGGCGGTGTCCCTGGTACTTGCCTTGTTGAATGAGGCGGCGGTGACCCTGGTACTTGCCTTGTTGTATGAGGCGGCGGTGACCCTGGTACTTGCCTTGTTGTATGAGGCGGCGGTGTCCCTGGTACTTGCCTTGTTGTATGAGGCGGCGGTGTCCCTGGTACTTGCCTTGTTGAATGAGGCGGCGGTGACCCTGGTACTTGCCTTGTTGTATGAGGCGGCGGTGACCCTGGTACTTGCCTTGTTGTATGAGGCGGCGGTGACCCTGGTACTTGCCTTGTTGTATGAGGCGGCGGTGACCCTGGTACTTGCCTTGTTGTATGAGGCGGCGGTGACCCTGGTACTTGCCTTGTTGTATGAGGCGGCGGTGACCCTGGTACTTGCCTTGTTGTATGAGGCGGCGGTGTCCCTGGTACTTGCCTTGTTGAATGAGGCGGCGGTGACCCTGGTACTTGCCTTGTTGTATGAGGCGGCGGTGACCCTGGTACTTGCCTTGTTGTATGAGGCGGCGGTGACCCTGGTACTTGCCTTGTTGTATGAGGCGGCGGTGACCCTGGTACTTGCCTTGTTGTATGAGGCGGCGGTGTCCCTGGTACTTGCCTTGTTGTATGAGGCGGCGGTGACCCTGGTACTAGCCTTGTTGTATGAGGCGGCGGTGTCCCTGGTACTTGCCTTGTTGTATGAGGCGGCGGTGACCCTGGTACTTGCCTTGTTGTATGAGGCGGCGGTGACCCTGGTACTTGCCTTGTTGTATGAGGCGGGGGTTACCCTGGTACTTGCCTTGTTGTATGAGGCGGGGGTTACCCTGGTACTTGCCTTGTTGTATGAGGCGGGGGTGACCCTGGTACTTGCCTTGTTGTATGAGGCGGCGGTGACCCTGGTACTTGCCTTGTTGTATGAGGCGGGGGTTACCCTGGTACTTGCCTTGTTGTATGAGGCGGCGGTGACCCTGGTACTTGCCTTGTTGTATGAGGCGGCGGTGTCCCTGGTACTTGCCTTGTTGAATGAGGCGGCGGTGACCCTGGTACTTGCCTTGTTGTATGAGGCGGCGGTGACCCTGGTACTTGCCTTGTTGTATGAGGCGGCGGTGTCCCTGGTACTTGCCTTGTTGTATGAGGCGGCGGTGTCCCTGGTACTTGCCTTGTTGAATGAGGCGGCGGTGACCCTGGTACTTGCCTTGTTGTATGAGGCGGCGGTGACCCTGGTACTTGCCTTGTTGTATGAGGCGGCGGTGACCCTGGTACTTGCCTTGTTGTATGAGGCGGCGGTGACCCTGGTACTTGCCTTGTTGTATGAGGCGGCGGTGACCCTGGTACTTGCCTTGTTGTATGAGGCGGCGGTGTCCCTGGTACTTGCCTTGTTGAATGAGGCGGCGGTGACCCTGGTACTTGCCTTGTTGTATGAGGCGGCGGTGACCCTGGTACTTGCCTTGTTGTATGAGGCGGCGGTGACCCTGGTACTTGCCTTGTTGTATGAGGCGGCGGTGACCATGGTACTTGCCTTGTTGTATGAGGCGGCGGTGACCCTGGTACTTGCCTTGTTGTATGAGGCGGGGGTGACCCTGGTACTTGCCTTGTTGTATGAGGCGGGGGTTACCATGGTACGAGCAATGATGTATGAGGCGGTGATGACCCTGGTACGACATTATGTATTTGGCGGGAGCTTCTATATTGTTTTAACTAGTCTCATGTCCTGTTATCACTCTCAGCAATAATTTTGTAATGTAGTGTCCGTAACTGTCGGATTTCGGAATGAATACAACATCTCACAGAACTGCAGCATTCTTCAACTAGTTGAAATCGAGTCAACATCAATGTGTCTTTGCTTGTCGGTGTATGTATTTGTGCGTTTAAAAAGCAATAATATGTGATGTCTCACACACGTACACACATAACCACAACAACACACACATAAGCAAACGTACATAAACACACACACACACACACACACACACACACACACACACACACACACACACACACACACACACACACACACACACACACACACACACACACACACACCAACACACACACACATGAGTAGCTCTGGTCAGTAGGACGGTCAGTAGGACGGTGGTCAGTAGCTCTGGCCAGTAGTAGCTCTGGTCAGTAGGACGGTGGACAGTAGGACGGCGGTCAGTGAACAAGGGTAGGACGTGCAGTCCGCGAATTACTTCAATATTCTCGGGATATTTACGTACCAGTGAGCCCAAAACATAGTTTTTGGTCATATGAAAGGTACAGCAACGCAGTGATAACGCAACATAGTGAATTCTTATAACGTTTGATAAGAAAAAAAATTGAAAAAGAACGAGATTGTGGCAAGACGGTGGCACCAGAGGCCGCGAAGGGAAGAGTTTGGACCACCACGTGGGAGGACCTCTGGCGGGGACGTCAACAACAATATCGGACATCGCTTCACAAATCACCTAATTGTGCTGTGGGAAGCTTACTCGGAGGTGAGTGCCTCTCAAAGTCAGCCATATAAGGTGTACAGTGTTTTTTTATATAGTAATTAGCTTTGAACATAAGTTAATTAAAATACGAAAAAGTAGTTCAAGAGCCTCAGCTTGGTACTAGCTTCTCACACCTGTGTGTTACATTACACCGCCACTGACTAGACCTACCCTCCCCCCCTCTTCCTCACCACAACAAGCCAGTGTAAACACATACACATGCACGCACGCACACACTGGTGACCGCTCACCCTCCCTCACCCACCCTCACCCCTCACGTTCCCACGCCTTACACTGCCCCAAGACATCCCTCTACCCCTCCCCCTATACACAAACACCCCTGCACTCAACACACACACACACACACACACACACACACACACACACACACACACACACACACACACACACACACACACACACACACACACACGCGCGCACACGCACACACGCACACACACACAACCTCTCTCTGTACCCTCCCGCACTAACCCACCCCCACACACCCTCTCCATCCCCATCCCTCACTTCCACCTTCCACCTCTCCCATATACTCACACACCTCCCCTCTCTCTCTCTCTCTCTCCCCCCACCCTCTCTCTCTCTCTCTCCCCCCCCCCTCTCTCTCTCCCCCCCCCCCTCTCTCTCTCTCTCCCCCCCTCTCTCTCTCTCGCTCGCCCTCTCCCTCCTCTCTCTCTCTCTCTCCTCCCTCCTCTCTCTCTCTCCATCCCCCCCTCTCTCTCCCCCTCCCCCTCTCTCTCTCCCCCTCCCCCTCTCTCTCTCCCCTCCCCCTCTCTCTCTCCCCCCTCTCTCTCTCCCCCCCTCTCTCTCTCCCCCTCTCCCCCTCTCTCTCCCTCTCCCCCCTCTCCTCCCTCCCCTCTCTCTCTCCCTCCCTCTCTCGCTCCCACCCCTCTCTCTCTTCCTCCCCCCCTCTCTCTCCCTCCCCCCTCTCTCTCTCCCTCCCCCCTCTCTCTCTCTGTCTCTCTCTCTGTCTCTCTCTCTCTCTCTCTCTCTCTCTCTCTCTCTCTCTCTCTCTCTCTCTCTCTCTCTCTCTCTCTCTCTCTCTCCTCTCTCTCTCTCTCTCTCTCTCCTCTCTCCCTCTCCTCTCATCTCTCTCTCTCTCTCTCTCTCTCTCTCTCTCTCCTCTCTCTCTCTCTCTCTCTCTCTCTCTCTCTCTCTCTCTCTCTCTCTCTCTCTCTCTCTCTCTCTCTCCTCTCTCATCTCGCTCATCTCTCTCTCTCTCTCTCTCTCTCTCACACACACACACACTCATAGGGAATCATGGAAGGGAGACGAAACTCTGACTGCCAAACGCAGGACATTCACAACTGGAACAAACACAGAGGATGGGATGGAACAGGAAGCTTGGATGAAGGAAGTACTCCAGCAAATGCAGAACGAATTCAGTGAAGGACTGAGGGTAATGAGGGAGACAGTAGCCAACCTGCCAGATGATTTAAGGGCAGCAAAGGAGGAGATAAGGTACCTAAA